CTAACCTATGTAGCTTAGGTATTAGAACTCACACCTTACTGTCTCCCTCATACAGTACAAACTCTTCAAAACAAACAAAAGAAACGAAACCTGCACATGGATCCTCCACCAACCACACCAGCAGTAGTCAATATCTCGGGAAAATAATTAAATTATCCCGGACGAGCCCCCATTTAATGTTACGAACCGTTGTGGGTCTAGGGTTGGTACCGCAACATTTATATATTGACCATACTGCTGAAAGTGGAGTGTGGTGGACAAACACATGTCAGACTCATTTTAAAGAGAAAAAATAACTGGAATTTATTTCTGTAAGCCGAAGCCATTGAGTCCAGTCAATAATAATCATAATAATAATAAGTGTCACATACAATAAATGATAGGGTGAATAAAACCAACAAACAATAAAAAGGAAAAGAACAAAAGTGGCGCCAAAAGAAAGAACACAAGATAACAAAACACTCCTTACATCTAACCTAAGCTAACCAAAGAAAAATGTAGAAAATAAACCGAAATCTTCGGTGCATCCGGCACCCTAACTCACTATCTAATAAAACAAAAATACAACGGGTGGCGCTCACTTCTTACCTGGTGTTTCTAACAATTATCTGCTACGGGTACAATGTATATCGCGATATACTTGCCTATGTTCTTTTCCCCGAAAAGCAAACAAAAGCTAATAACACAAATGAATATCACCCATTCAAAAATAGATAAACATGTCGCATAAAGCACATAATGCAACTCTCATTCCGCTAGTGACCTCAAATCACTTTACAAAGAGAGAACAGAGTTTTCTACCATAAGCTACAACAAAGGAGAGACACTGGGACAATGAACGCAACATCCTTTTAACCAGCTGGGACGATCTCCAATTAGTCACCAAGCCCCGCCTTACGGATGAATGGCGTCCGACTCGGCCAATCCCAGCAACCTATAGGCAGAGATCAGGCGATAGAGACAGAGAGAGAGTAATGAGCAGCATAACGACTAACAGGTGATAAACACATCAATATACACAGAATAACAAAACGCCACACACACACGTGGAACGTAACAGTTTGCTTATTCAATTCGACGCTGATTTTAGTTTATCTGTAATCAGGAAACAATATCGCTCTGCAGTACTTATCTCAAAGCCCGCACGGCACACCCCCGTCAGTTCCGATAACCAATTCAGAGATAGTTTGACTTAATATCTAAGATCTGCCGTATTCACACGTACAATCAGAGATATCTTTACAAGTCCCCTTGAATGCCTCCTCTAGAACTTAAATCAATGTATTACTATGGTAGGGACGAATATGACCACCATGAAAGAAGACAGTTTAACCAACTCAACTTCTCTTAAATGGCTTCAGGTCAAAACCCGCGGTCTGAGAACCACGCACGTTTATCCAAAGTAATCATTAACTTAGAACAGTGAATATGGGCACACCCAAAACTAGGTTGATTAAAACAGCATTTGCTGATTCTAGTCGGAAATAACTTGCCCCGCCAATTCAAGTACACTTAAAATGGTATCGGATATTAGCCGTCGCTAATCTGACGCGAAAGATGTGGAAATATTCGAATCCAATGATCTAGGAAAAAACAATCTTTCAGAGTCACTTAGAATAAAATCAAACGTTTACAGTTTATTGAACAGGTAATGAAATAATAATTCAAATTCAATTCAAAATAGATAAAAACGATCAGTTAAGCATTTTACAGCAAAGATTCCGAAATCACAGAATTAGTAGAAAATATTACCTGTCAATAGAATTACACACAGCGATTGTGTGGGCAGTCAACCTACAGACTCCCCGAATTATTGTCCACTTTTCCTTTTATACCCAGATAATTCAATACTCATTGGTGTCTGTCATTACAATTATAATTTGATTCACTATTCAGGGATTCACACTGTGAGATCAGAATTTGTGTTTGAATAGGTTCTTGTTTAACATACAGGAGGTAGTCTGAATGGAGGATCTGGGGGAGGGAGACACCTTTAAGAGACACATCGCTCTCTCATATTTTATAACTTCTTTTAGCTCTACATTATGGTTGGGAGAATGAGACCATTTTACCAGGCGCACTGTGACATTTCAAAAAACATCAAACATGAATAGTTACATTACATTGCATAAGTTCTTAGTGTATTTCAGGTGAGGAGGAGGGGGGATGAAGGGAAGATAGTGTGTGAAGTGTGTGTTGTGCAGCACCTCGAAATCCCTGTTACATATGTAGGAGGTAGTTCAAGTGTTAATATCCAAGGGGGGAACCTTTGTTCTATCGAGGGGTCGGTCAGACATCCTGGCACCAGTCTTACACACAGGTGAGAGCACATAGCATACAGTTTGAGTCATTCATATGGTATAAACTATTGACGAACTGTTAAAGGGTTAGTGAAACGAGACTTCCTTAGATTTCCACGACGCATGCGCGAGAACTGAAGTAGAGTAGTTGAAGTCATGTTTTCTTTAATGACTAAAACATGTATTAGCTTAGAGTAGGGGTGACATTTTCGAATAATCATCGAATATTATTTTTACTTGAAATGCCGATGTTTTACAATGCCAATGGTGTTTTAAATGCCTGTTTTAGGTTTTTGGTGCCGCTTTCAAAGCAGTCACCTCCGTAACAGACAACTGGACTCCTTTAGTAATGGATTATGAACATAATATTTTTGAAGAACGTCAAATGTATTGTGATTAAAAAGCTTTTATTTCATATAAACTCTTGTATTTTTATTTAAGCTAATATTCCATTAAAGTTTTGTGAGTTTTGCAGGCGCTGACTAATAACTGGAAGGGAAAGAGTTAAAATATGAGTGTTTAAAATAATCTAATAACAGTCAATAATGTGTTTCATGTTTTGTCACTTGGGTTAATTGAAGCTTAACAGTAACTTTGATTTCTTTCTACTTTTGTCTAACAAATAAACATTAATATCTCAGATTAAAAGTATTACTTATACTTCACAATTTTTTAAGGGCATTAGATGGTGGTTTTCACAGTACAATCACAGAAAAACACATTACAGGAGAGAGAATAATATTTATTTCAACACACTGCGACATGTTTCAATTTACACAAGTATACTCTCATTGACATAGATCAAAATAGTCAAAACTTTTTTTAGCACTATTATCTAAAAAATGGTTAATCATGAAAAAAAAAACATTAGTAAATGATCAGTAAAATAATTGATGATTGTAATCATATAATTATAATGATTAAAATGATTGATGTATCGTGAAGTTAAACTGGTCTGTTTTGAAAAGCACAAACATGCAATTATGTTAAAGCAGTGTTTTAAATGAGAGTAATTTATTGGTTTATAAATGGGGGATTCCAGTGGGTCAAATCCCAGACAGCAAACGGACATTGAATTAACGTGGAAACGACGTCTCTCATGACATTGAAACAACGTTGATTTTGCACATCGAAATTAATGTTGAACCAACGTCAGACGCGGCATTCTTCAAAGCTAAATGAAAATCGAAAATTGGTTTGCTTTCATAACGTTGAAACAACGCGTTGATTTCAAGTTGATTTTCCGTTAGTTTTGAAAGAATGACGCGTCTGACGTTGGTTCAACGTTAATTCGATGAGCAAAACAATGTCAGATCAACGTTGTTTCTATGTCATATTTCCACGTTGATTCAATGTCAGTTTGCTATCTGGGATGCTTTCACTCATCAGCACAAACTTGGCTTCTGTATGGGATCTGGCGATAATATGAACTGGTTTTACCTTCCACTGAAGCTCACATCAGGTGCACAGCAGTTAAAGAGTCATGTGTATCACAGAAGACTGTCTAAAGCCCCGTTCACACCGCGACAAGATCCCATTCATTTCAATGGAGCACTGGCGCCATCCGGCGACATGAGCGTTGGCGTCAGAATGTGGGCGTGTCAAGCGACAAGAGAAAAGCGACAAAAGTTGAGAATTTTCGACTTTATGCAAATGAGAAGCGATTTTCGCGAGCGACAACCAATAGGAAAGAAGACTTTCAGTGGAGCTCAGCTCACGACAGAAAGAAAGAGTTTGAGGACGATTCGCTGTTTTATATGATTTGACTGTAACCACATACATGGATAATAAAATGATGCATGGAAAAAAAACTGTCTACAGTCTCAGTGAGTTTAATTCATACATTTAACGTTATAGTTCTAGCGTTGTAATTTTATGATGCACGTTTAGCACTGCTGCAGTTCATTTTACAATTTCCCCTGCATTACGTTGACTATTAGGCACAAGAAAATTGATTATTTGGCAAACTCGAGTGACGTTTTTATAATTTGTGCCAGTATGAGTGAGTTTAATTTGTTGATTGATCGATCTTTGATCTATTCTAGTAAATGATTTAATCCACTGAACACAGCTGTAGAGATATAAAAACACTCTCCCAACAGCATACGATTTCTTTTTAGCCTTAAAAGTCATTTATTCCCAGTCAAATTAAAATTATATAGTTGTATATATCACTTGTGATGGTCTTTTGTATAGATATGGCCAGACGTGGAGTCTACCAATATAGCATTAGAGCGACAGCACTACGAACGCCCACAAGCGACATCACAGTACAGAGCCTAGCGACACACAGCGACAAAATGGCTGGCGGTGTGAACGGGGCTTAAACCTTCACTGCAGTACACACTACAAAGTGTTCAACACCTTTTATATATAATGTGCAAACACATTAATAAATCATTATACAAAGCTTTCTGCATTCCCTAAGCTAAAGTCTAATCTATTCATTATGCATAAACATGTTTCATTTCACTTATAAACTCCCTGTAACAAGTAGGGGTGTCACGATTCACCAAATCCTCGATTCGATTACATTTTCGATTCTAAATTCACGGTTCGATTTTCGATTTTTTATCAATTGGCCAATCAGGATGCTCTCTGTGTTCCATGCGCTTCATGAGGCACACACTCAAGGTCTCTCGCTCTCTCCCTCTCTGCCGTGCGCGCAACACGGTTTGGAGCAGTTTTTTCTGTCTCGCACGTGCGCTCTTGCTCGCTCACTCTAGATTCTGGGAGATTTTAACTAATTTGCGTGCATCAGGAAGCCGCTATCAATATGCGGGAGACTCCCGTAAATTCCGCGAGACTTGGGATGTATGCAAACTGTGGTTTCTTTTAAGCGTGAACGTTGTCAACATAACTCACTGGAAATCCAAAAAACTTTGCCTGTGACTTCAATGAAAGAGGGGGTTCAAGTTCTGTCGACGGGTCTCCTGCATCTGCAGTTGCCATGCTCTCTTTTGAATGGCTGTAGCCAAGTTAGAGGAGCATAGCACTTCTACACACGTGTTTTTTTCCGCTTGGCAAACCGAACGGACGTGACATGGGGCCGTGGCAGCATCGACGAATCCACTTTTTAATTTGAAGTTCAAGATTGTGAATTAATTTCAATGGATTTCGATTTAAAAATCAAAATCGTGACACCCTTAGTAACGAGTTATATGTGTAACGTGATGTCATGAGTGTATTAGAATGAAAAGTTGGTCTGGCATACTTGCGTTTGGACAAAAAGTAACGTACATCAAGGACATTTTACATTTAAACAACTTTAGAAATGTACAAATGTTTATTTTTCTTTATTTTACTTCTCCCCAGAATGAATCCTCATGTGGACTTTAAGGTTTCTGTCTTGAGTGAAACTCTTTCCACACTGCGGCATGTCAATGTCTTCTCTCCACCGTGAACTCTCATGTGGTATACAAGATTTTTTTTTTGAACGTAACTCTTTCCACACTGTTGGCAGGTGTAAGGGGTCTCTCCAGTGTGAATTCTCATGTGGACTTTAAGGTTTCCTTTTCGATTGAAAGTCTTTCTACACCAATGGCAGGTGTAAGGGGTCTCCCCAGTGTGAACTCTCATGTGACTTTTAAGGTTTCCTTGTTGGTTGAAAATGAATCCACACTCTTGGCAGGGGTAAAACTTCCTCTCAGTGTGAACTTTCATGTGGGCTTCAAGCTGTCCAGGCTTATTGAATCTTAGTTCACAAAGATGGCAGATGAAATTACCCATAGTCCCGTTCATTTGAGCACGTTTTTCTGAGGAAGATTTCTCAGTCTGAGAGGTACTAAAAGATTTTTCTTTAGTTATGAGATTGTGACGTGTATAACAGTGATCTTTCATTTCATTCAGATCTTGACACTCCTCTTTCAACGGCACCAGGTCTAACACGAAAAAAGACAAAAAAGTGCCAGTTTAATGCCACAAAGCAACAGTCATCAAAACATTTAGACATGTCAAACTTCAAAACATCAGCTGTGCGTTTCCATGGCTTTCCAAGTGTATGTTGGCATACGTTCTGCCAATCAACGTACACTTGCGGCACTGGTAGTTCCTATTGTGCTGGGTATCGAGAATCGAGTATCGATTGGAACCGAGACTAACTTTTCGTTTTTCCCGGAATCGTTCAAAAGTTAAAATTTCGATTCCTAGTTTCGATATTCACAGTCCGCCGAGCGGAAGAAGAAACCGCTGAACAACACCAACGAAAAAGCGTCTACCGGAAGTGTTGGCATAACCGCGCGAGTCGAACATTAGTAGCTTACGTCAGCGGTCCAAAGTGTGGCTTCACTTTTCTAAAAATAACGAAATCTCGGCAAAATGCAAAATTTCTGACAAAAGGAGTATTTGTGACAGGAGTATTTCCTTCAGAAAGGATTACTTCCTTCAGAAAGACCGTTGGTTAGCAAGGTTAGCTAAACTTTTTTGACCCTGCCTCTTAAAAGAATCGGAATCGAGAATCGTTAGGAACCGGAATCGAAACAAGGAATCGGAATGAGAATCGTTCAAATTCAAACGATACCCAACCCTAGCTGGGTTAGACCCTACTCTGAAATAGGAGCTAATTTAGTTCCCCCAAAAGGCGTTCCTATAGCTAAAATTGTTTCCAGTTCCTGCGGTGAGAACACACGATAAAGCGGGTACTACCACCAATAGTTACAGGAACTGTGTAAACCCCTTCTATGAGTTAGAGCAGGGTTGGAACTAAACTCTGCAGGAGTTTTGCATGAGAATTGCCGATTTATACAGGGTTGGCTAAGACCTATACCTCTCGAACTCAGTAAAACGTTAAAAAGCTCTTAACATTAGCAAGGAGTCTTATGGAGCGTTCACACGGGACGCGAATAGCACATCGGGCGCGAGTGATTTCAATGTCAATGCAAAGGCGCCACGAATGAGGCGTAGAACGTGGCGCGGTAGACGCGAATACGCCATGGCGTGCGAATGCCGCTAATTGAGTGTCTGGCGCGTTAAGCGCGAATGATTTAGTAAGTGCTATTTGTGCATTCACGTATTTGACGTGAATTCGCGCCTGCTGCCCGAGGCGTCAATTCGCGCCGTGTTAACCAATCAGGAGCCTAGCTGCTTGCTCACGTGGTGAAGTGTCTGGATGCTTCAATAAATTATTTTGTAATATGGCTAAATGCCTGGGGCCTATACCATGATACCGGTTTAGGTGGCTAGCCAGCTATGTTTCAGTTTAGTTTGTGCCAACCCTGGGTTTTAGGTACCATGAAAGTGGTTTGGCTTTTAGCAGTGTTCATTGCCATAGTAACTTACACGCCACAGCTAACCTGGTCCGGGGCAGGTTATGTTCCAGGTAAGAGGTTGCAAACCAAACTTGGACCAATCAGCTGTGAGCAAAGTGACACATGTCTGACGTGATAGTCACTCCACAGCAAATGATTTTAAAAAACAAAATCATGGCTTTTAGTAAATAAATTTGTATGATTTATAAATTATTCCTGTAATTATTATACCCTAAAACGATCTCACACGTACAATTTCAGTTGTACAGTATATAAAGGTAATATAAATACGATTTAGAATCAATAAATGAAGCTATAAAATGACTACATGTGAGCTTAAATGTTCAATTCTCTCTATATCTTTACCAACTGTATAAACTAACTTCACAACTTTTACTTGCACTGATATACAGTAGCGAGACTTTCTTTTAGTTGTCCTCTTTCATAGACAGCTATTTTCTTCTTGCTGTGTAAATTTGTTTAAATTCTTAATATTTTAATACTTTTATTTAATAAATGAATTGCGCTGCTTCTCTCGTGAGAAATTATTTTCAATGTGTTATGAAAGAGTTTCACTCTTTCTTACCATGTGATTGGCTGTTTGCTACTGATGTCACATCTAAACTCCTAAACTCAGGATCAAAGCCTGAGTTGACAGAGAAAGTTGAAGATTAGCATCATGGTACCAACAAAGCCTGGTTGGATTGGTTTGGTTTTGTCAACTCTAAACTAATCCTGCAAACCAGAGTTTGTTCAACTACCATCATGGTAAAGGCCCCAGGTGTGGTTCTAATACACAACAAAGCAAATATTTAATTGACCCTTCGCTAAGCCCCGCCCTCCCTAGTTACTGTTGCTACGCCTGTCAAGCTTTCGCAGCTGGCCCATCTATTAGTGTGCACCCGGTGTCAGACATTTCGACGAGATAATTAATAATTTTCGGCGAACAAGTGAAATATCTGAGAGAGCAAGACAAAAGGGACTACAGTATGCATTCGAGGGATATATTCGATTAGAAAATAATTTCTTAAAAATTGAAGTTAAAGCCTAACGTTATAGTCCCAGCGCAAGCAGCAGCGCCTCATACGCTGACCGTTCAAATGGGAAACACAAACTGAGGAACAGCTATGTTCATACACAGCAGGGTATGTGAAAATAATCTTAATAATTATAAATCAAACAGCTTATCAATAAATCTTGTGGAATAACACTAATACCGGGAGAGCCGCGATCGGATTGGGTTAAGTTACTTTGTAAGGGGTAACGTTAGTAGGACGTCGATTAACAAAATGCTGAAATATATTTTAAAGTATGTCAGTGAGCCTTTGTCTTGTCTCTTTAATCATTTTATTTTACGTTATCATTATGACCAAAGAACCGTCAATATTTCCAAGCAATAGGTGTTTTTGTTAAGCATATCGACATTTACCAGTAGTTGTGAATGGGTCTCGCACATAGACGCTAGATCACGCCAGTCATTTCTCCCCTTGGCTTTTAGATTTTCTGGAAGGAAAACAATTCCTCTCCCCCGTCCAAACTTTTGGTATACCGGTATCAGATTTGCACAATCCATACGCACAATGCTTCAGTATGTTCCCTCGTTCGAAAGCTTGACAGACCTCCCGCGCATAGTTACGGTTGCTAAGACATGACTGGCCAGTGGCGGTTTTCAGGCGTGGCTTAGCGAAGGGTCAATTACATAAAACTTTTTTTCAATATACGAGTATTGAATGTTATTTATTCAATATCTAGATTATATGAAATATAATCCAAATATGGCGACGATGATTCCCAGAGCAAATACAGAGCGGTGACACTTGATGAATGCTCAATCAACACATAAAATGGCCGCCAACGGGTTTCGGTTACAAAGCATGTAAATTTTGCTTCAAACTTTTGTTTTTACACGCGTCAATTTCGATCTTGACGCGTAAATGGATTCAAAGTGTTCAAGCGTATAACTAGATGCGGTAGGCTCGAATTTGGCACGCTAATCGCGTCTGATGTGAACGCACAGTTAGCTGAAAGAAACTAGATTTACCTAGTGCATTTACCAGCTCATCAAAGGTCAAAGCAGAATCAAAAACAACATTTTTTTTTTTACAGAGGGTTTGACGAATGAGGCCAGGTTACCCAACAATTAATCTGTGTTGCCAGAAACAGCTGCAGAGGCCCAAAACACAATTTCCTCAGTCTTACTCATTTAAATTGAATGGAAAATTTAAGGCCATTGTTTTGCTTAAAAGCCACATAAATTTGAGTGGCTTTACTTTTGAACTTGATAAACAAAGCATCAAACTTTGTATCGTGATTTTCATTGTTTTTGGAAGACACGCTGTGAGGAATAAGCTTGAATTTACCTCAGAAGAAGAAATTACTCTGATATGGCTTTATTCAGAGCAGGGTATAATTTCTGGTGAATGAGGAATTTATTCTTACTTGCATACGAAACAAGGGTGTAAATTATGTTATAACATATCATTTGATACAAAAGCGCAGCATGATGAATGTTACAGCGTTTATATTTAGACCAGTGTTAATTCTGAGAACGTCATATTAATTTCTGAAGAGCTGGTATACAGAGTTCAGCTGTGAGAATGAAACTAACCTGTTTGTTCCTCAGTTTCTTCTTGTTTCACACTGAATGTTTCTTCAATCTTGAAGTCTTCACGCTCCTCTTTAATAAACGCCATCTTTGAGTGTTCCTCAGTTTCTTCTCGTTTCACACTAAATGTTTCTTCAATCTTGAAGTCTTCACGCTCCTCTTTAATAAACGCCATCTTTGTGTCTTCACTCTCCTCTTTAATAAACGCCATCTTTATGTGTGTCTCAGTTTCTTCTTGTTTCACACTGAATGTTTCTTCAATCTTGAAGTCTTCACGCTCCTCTTTAATAAACGCCATCTTTGAGTGTTCCTCAGTTTCTTCTCGTTTCACACTAAATGTTTCTTCAATCTTGAAGTCTTCACGCTCCTCTTTAATAAACGCCATCTTTGAGTGTTCCTCAGTTTCTTCTCGTTTCACACTGAATGTTTCTTCAATCTTGAAGTCTTTATTCTCCTCTTTAATAAACACCATCTTTGTTTGTACCTCAGTCTCTTCATTTTTGACTCTGAATGTTTCATCAATCTTCATGTCTTCACTCTCCTCTTTAAAAAACGCCATCTTTATAATAGTGCGTCACATGGATCTCAGATCAGGAGTTTTCCTGTGTGTTTGGACACTCTGTCCTGTGTAAGATGAGAATAATTAACAAAAAGAAAAACACTCTAAACTAAATCTCTGAGAGCGTCTCAATCAGATCTAGTTCAGTAGTTCAGTTCACTGGTAAGAGAGTCAGTCAGAGTGAGAGTGATCTGGGGCCGTATTCATAAAACATTTTATCTTACCACTAAGAGTTAAAGGAAAACTCCGGCGCAAAATGAACCTTTGGTCTAATAAAACATCGGTACCTAGTCAATCATTCTCTGAGTTTTGTTTTCATGATAATCGAATGTAAAGAGTTTTATCTCTAAAAACGGTTTAGCGTATAATGCTAGTAATGGGGGCATTGACTAAGTAAAAAGAAATCGCTAGTTTATACCACTAACAAGGCTCAAAATAGCACAGTAACATAATGAGGGTCCATATATGCAAAACGAAGCCTTGAGAACTTTGTAAGTGTACAGACCGTTTAATAAGAAGATACTTTATAAAGACAGTTCACTTCATACAGACAGGAACCATCTTAGAAAAACAGACTCGATAAATCGAACCGCGGACACCGTTCATACAGTTCAGAAGTTCGCTGATCTTCATACAGTTCAGCTCACTCAGCACGACGTTCGTGGTTCAACTTAACGAAACTGTTTTCAAAGTTCAGGTTTTTTTTCACTTCAAACGGTCTCTCTAATCATCCTTAGAGGAGGTGTGTGTGTGTGTGTACACACAGCCGACTCGCTAGTTACCTCAAAAGTTTTCTGCGTCCCTCCGCCAGCCGTTCCTCACTCTCGTCCGGGGATTCGGAGGAGAATTTGTGTTTCCTCGTTTCCTTTCCTCGCGTCTCAGCTCCTGTAGGGTACGAGGGAAGACTACAATTAGGGAAACGAGGACGGACGAATCGAAGGAAAGCTCATTTGTATATTGGAATATTCTTGATCACTCGAGCGTCACTCACTGCGCTCAAAGGATCTGCCCTTATGTTGTTAAACTTTGGTTATTTAACAAATTCATATATTTTAACTATAAAGCAAGATTCCTCGTTGATTTATACGGAGGCGTATTGCATTCACTTGAAGAAAAAAAAAACTACTCTGTTTTTCTGAATTAATGAGTAAATTTTTCATGAGAAATTTTTTTTGCTCTGTTTTTCTGAATTAACGAGTTAATTTTTCATGATAATTTTTTTGCTGTTTTTCTGAATTAATGAGTACATTTTTCGTGAGAAAAAACGTTTCAGAAAAACAGAGCAAAAACTTTTTTTCTCATGAAAAATTAACTCATTAATTGAGAAAAACAGAGCAATTTTTTTCTCATGAAAAATTAACTCGTTAATTCAGAAAAACAGAGTAGATTTTTTTCTTCATGTGAATGCAATACGCCTCCGTAGATTTATGTGTCATATATGGTAATAATAATAATAAAAAAGATTATTTTGGGATTTTTTTAAAGGTTTAACTTCATGTGAATGCAATACGCCTCCGTAGATTTATGTGTCATATATGGTAATAATAATAATAAAAAAGATTATTTTGGGATTTTTTTAAAGGTTTAAAGGGGTGCACGACAAACAAATTGAGACGCCCAGGTGTACAGTGTCTTTGGGCAGATTGCCAGCAACGGCCATTAGGATTGTTTGTGATCTGGTTTCAGTGACTTGGGAATCCTCTAGACTACACCTAACGTTTCACATATTTAGGAGCTGGTTTTAACAATAAAATGCTTTGTGAAATACTCCTTTGGAAAAAAAATTTGGACTGACACACATTATGCAATTTTATATGCTAAACAAATCTGTTTAGCTATCCATTTACTGAATGAGCACTGTGACACTGTTCGTCCGACTGTTATTGTATTTTATTTTAATTCTAAACGGTTTTAATTATTTACTGTATTTTATTATTATTTTTTATACTTAACTGTTTTAATTATTCTGATTTCTTTTGATAATTTTAATTTCTTCTATGTAAAGCACTTTGAATTACCACTGTGTATGAAATGTGCTATATAAATAAACTTGCTTTGCCTATTTAAGTTTCTCCGAAATCCGCAAGTTAGGAGCTACTTTTTGTCTTAAAATGTTTTATGAATCCGACCCGATTAGACAAAATAAAAACATTTTTTCACACAGCAAATAGTATATACACTATATTTTAGAAAGTTTAAGTAACTAGGCTATTTAATGATTTGTAGATATTTAGAAATATAAACAAAGAGCACTTCGAATAGCTTAATCATTCAATCAAGACTCACCTTTAACGTCATGAATCTTTTTGTTACTTTGCTCACACAACGTTGATAAATGTTAGATAAAGCGATGAAATGTTATATATAATAACAAATAATTCAATCGGCGGCATTTGTAAAACTTTGAAGATGATTAAACGGTTTCTATCGGGTTAAACACTTGAACAATTCTGAAACCAAACCTTTCTTCAGCCGAATCGCTACAGATGCAAGAGCGCGGCGCAGCCTTATGACGTCACGCCAGCAGACCAAAATAAAAGTCCTCTTCACAAAAGCGAAGTAAAAGAATACAAAATTCGGAGTTTAATTGTACTGGTGAAAATACATTTAATAACACAAGTACATACATTTAACATTGAGAGTTTAAAAAAAATCAAAATCAAAGATATAACACAATCCAGTTACAGAGACTAACCTTCAAAGAAATGTATTTCTTCATGGCTTACGTCTACTTTATCATTGTATCACATTTATTAGTTAATGGCTTTAAAATCGGAAAAGCATCCCAAATAATGTCAACTGTAGAGCACTCTCTCTCACACACAGACTCACACACACACACACACACACACACACAAACAGCTGCAGACATCTTTGTGGGAACTCTTTCTTTTTTTTGCATCACATTTGTCACTGTTTGCATTTCGAAATTTATTACTGGTAAGGTTTCTTCGCCCAACAATACAGTTTTACTTTTTAGACAAAGTCTCACAGAGTTTAGTAGTTTCCCAGCAAACACAAAAACGTTGCAAAAACGTTTTTTTTTTTTTTTTTTTTCACGTCGTCAAAAAGTTGTCAACGTTTTTATCCGACGTATTTAAGACAGATGTCGGGTTTTTTAAACGTTATAAATACGTATTTTCCCAACGTGGTTGAAACGTTTTTTTTGTTTTTTTTTTACGTAAGTATTTTCACAACGTGGTTGCAACATTTTACGTTGCTTCGACAAACCCCTGTTGACGTTTTAAAAACATTAATATCACTTCTTATGTGGTACTTTTTTCCTATTGGTTTTTACCACGTTCAGCCGAAACGTGGCAGTCTGTACATGTTGTTTTTGACGTGTGTCACATGATGAAACTCTTGAAGAACGCTTTTGCTGATGGACGTGTTTTCCAGACAGGCAGTGGCAAAAAGATTAGGTGGCAATACCTAGAACACCTCAACAAACTTCAGGAGACGGAGGGCTTGAGGCTGGGTAACAAGCTGAGGATGGCACATATTAAATCAGAAGATGAAGGTAAATATTGTCGCTCAAGTTTTCAGCAGCAGTGTTGCAGATGCCCTTGAATTTTGCAACAAAGAGCTTCACTTGCCTCAGTTTCATGGTTCTGAGGAAACCGTTGAATTTCTGAGAACGATCGATTTAGCTTTTGATGTTCTCAACAGCAGGAACCCTCTGGCAAAGGGTTCCAAACCTCCTTTGAGAAGTTGTACTTAACTTCACATGCTTCACATGAGTCTGTTGGAGAGAGCTGAAAATTTCCTTCTGCAGCTCAGAGATAGCTCTGGGAGACCAAGAAAATGATGCAGGTCCAAGAAAAATGGGTCCCATTGCATTTATTGCCAGCTCCAGAAGCATTTTCGACATCTTTAAAGGGTTATGACATCGAAACAACGTTGATCTGACATTGTTTTGCTCATCGAATTAACGTTGAACCAACGTCAGACACGTCATTCTTTCAAAACTAACGGAAAATCAACTTGAAATCAACGCGTTGTTTCAACGTTATGAAAGCAAACCAATTTTCAATTTTTATTTAGCTTTGAAGAATGCCGCGTCTGACGTTGGTTCAACGTTAATTCGATGAGCAAAATCAACGTTGTTTCAATGTCATGAGAGACGTTGTTTCCACGTTGATTCAATGTCAGTTTGCTGTCTGGGTTAGCATCCAGCTGTTGAGCACGAGATTCCTGTCCTCTACTGTTTTCTCTATACAGCCGCCAGACCTGTTTCACTCTATTGTAAGTTTAAATTTTTTATGATAAAAGAGATGAAAGAAATTCAGAGTTGAATTAGTGAAATACATATTTAAATATATGTTGTTCAATTATGGATGTTCAAAAATTGTATCATTTGTATATTTTCTATTCTTTGCACTGATTGTCAACAGCAGCGTGTGAACAGGACTTTTATTTTGGTCTTGTTGTGTGATGTCATCAGGCTGCGACGCACTCATACATTTGTTGTAATTCGGCTGAAGAAAGGTTAGTATTTTAAGTGTTTAAGGTTTTTAAACTTAGAAACCATTAAATCAGTTTCAAAGTTTTCTAAGCGATGTAGATTGAATTATTGATTATTAAATGTAAGATTTCATTGCTTTATCTAACATTTATTAACGTTGTGTCAACAAAGTAACATATTGAAAACATGATCAATATTAAAGGTGCGTTTCATTCCGCAATATTGTGAGTCAGTTCATCATAAACACGAATTCAGTCACTGGCAAGTAGTGATGGAGAAACGAGAGCTTTTGGAAACGAGTCAAATGAATCAATTGTTTTGGAAAATGATTTGCTGATTCAAAGCGCTCTATATCTATTTTTATCTCGATTTCTACAATCATTAAATACATTAAATCATGCCCTAAATATATAGTGACTGTATAATTTGTGTTCTTTCATTAGTTTGTAGATCTGATTGAGACACTCTCAGAGATTTAGTTTGGATTTATTTTTCTTTCTGTTAATTATTCACATCTTAAACAGGACAAACACAAAGAAAAACTCCTGGTGAAGCGACAGAGATCCACGTGACACTATTATAAAGATGGCGTTTATTAAAGAGGAGAGTGAAGACTTCAAGATTGGAGAAACTTTCAGTGTGAAACAAGAAGACACTGAGGAACACACAGGTTGGTTTCACTCTCAAAGCTGAACTCAGTCATTTGATCCTTATTAAAATGTTCAGCTCTACAGAAATGAATGATATTTTTGGAGAGTGTCCTAATTCAAGCAGTTTTATTTGACATGGAGCGGGGCGCCTCATGTGAAAAGTGCTATATTAAACAAGTCAGTGCCGCCATTTTCATAATGAACCAAAAATATTTTAAGTCCTATAATAACATAAAAGTTCTTTAACATTCCTTTTTCAACGTACCCCTTTCCTTTGTCATTGTGTCAAAGGAGCTAAAAATGAATGCACAATATCGCTTTGTGCCCTAAACAAACAACAACAGACTGGGATTTATTTAAAGGGTCATGAAACCCCCCTCTTTCAGCTCAAGTCTAGCTCACAATCTTTTTGAAAAACGCAACTTTAATGGGCGTGGATAGCCGTGAGAAGAAGGGAGGGAGTGTGTGTGGTATGGCCATCACTGTCAATGTCCCATGCATATCGACTGTCAATAAAAAGCAATGGTAAAACATGAGGAAATGCTAGATTTTTTTTTTAAATAGCTGGCAAAGTTAAAGTCTATAAAATACACTGACACTTGAAAAGTGACTGAATACCCTGTTACATATATTAGCCTACAGTAGTGCTGTCAAACCATTAAAATATTTAATCGCGATTAATCGCATTAATGTCATAGTTAAAGGGTTAGTTCACCCAAAAATGAAAATTCTGTCAGTATTTACTCACCCTCATGTTGTTCCAACCCCGTAAGACCTTCGTTCATCTTCGGAACACAAATGAAGATATTTAAGATATTAAGATCGCTCCTGCATACAGTCCATAGGCTTCTTGAGGGACTGGCTCTTGCTGTCCTCGAAAAGTCATCATAAATATACATATATATTCTATATTTCAACATGTTTCACTCAATTTCACATTTTTCAGTTTGGCAATACAGTTTATGTAAAGTCCATTCAGTAAATTGTCTGTTGCTTTGTGGCACTAAACTGGATTTTTGTGCATCTTTTTTCATATTAGACCTGATGGCATTGAAAGAGGAGAGTCAAGATCTGAATGAAAGGGAAGAGAAAGATCAGTATGAGACGCATCATGATTTCATAACGGAAGAAAAACCTTTTAGTTGCTCGCAGACTAAAAAAACGTCCTCACAAAAAAGGGCTCTAAAGACTAAAAGTTATCTCACATGCCGACACTGTGGAATAACTTTCAGTCAACAAGGAAACCTTACAGTCCACATGAGAATTCACACAGGAGAGAAGCCTTACACCTGCCAACAGTGTGGAAAGAGTTTCAGAGTACAAGGAAACTTTCAAGTCCACATGAGAATTCACACTGGAGAGAGCCCTTACACCTGCCAACAGTGTGGCATCAGTTTTAGACAAAAAGGAAGCCTTGAAGTCCACATGAGAATTCACAATGGAAATAAGCCTTTTACATGCCAACAGTGTGGAATAAGTTTCAGTCAGAAAGCGAACTTTAATAAGCACATGAGAATTCACACTGGAGAGAAGCCTTTCACATGTCAACAGTGTGGAAAAAGTTTCACTCAAAAAGAAAGTCTTAAAAACCACATGCGAATTCACACTGGAGAGAAGCCTTTCACATGTCAACAGTGTGGAAAGAGTTTCAGTATACAAGCAAACCTTAAAGTCCACATGAGAATTCACACTGGAGAGAGCCCTTACACCTGCCAACAGTGTGGAAAGAGTTTCAATCAAAAAGTACAGCTGAACAGTCACATGAGAATGCATTCTGGAGTGAAGCCTTTAACATGCCAACAGTGTGGAATAAGTTTCAGTCAGAAAGCGAACTTTAATAAGCACATGCGAATTCACACTGGAGAGAAGCCTTTCACATGTCAACAGTGTGGAATTAGTTTCACTCAAAAAGTAGGTCTTCAAAATCACATGAGAATTCACACTGGAGAGAAGCCTTTCATATGTCAACAGTGTGGAAAGAGTTTCAGTATACAAGCAAACCTTAAAGTCCACATGAGAATTCACACTGGAGAAAACCCTTACACCTGCCAACAGTGTGGAAAGAGTTTCATTCAAAAGGTACAGCTGAACAGTCACATGAGAGTTCATTCTGGAGTGAAGCCTTTAACATGCCAACAGTGTGGAAAAAGTTTCGAAAAACATGGAAACCTTAGAGTCCACATGAGAAGTCACACTGGAGATAGCCCTTTTACCTGCCAACTGTGTGGAGTTGGTTTCAAACAAAAAAGAAGCCTTGACAGGCACATGATGACTCACACTGTAGAGAAGCCTTTCACCTGCCAACAGTGTGGAAAGAGTTTCAGCCGAAAAGGAATCCTTAATACCCACATGAGAATTCACACGTAAGAGAGACATTTTACCTGTCAACTGAGAAGAACAACTTTCACCAATGCCGTGTTTCCACCACAATTACCAGGAACTATTTGTCCCAGGAACTTTTTTCATAGGAACTTTTTTGCCCCAGACCACTTGCTTACTGCGTTTACACTGAAGTACTGGTCCGGAACGGGAAGATTATGTAGTGACATTGAACTGTGTGTGACTGCTCCTCCCAGTCTGTGCGTTTGTTTTGTATGGAGCCCCCCTAGTCCCACTTTGGCAAAAAAAAAAAATTATAACTATCTTGTTGCCTCAAGATACTAACTCGTGGCCTCAAGATACTAACTCGTGGCCTCAAGATACTAACTCGTGGCCTCAAGATACTAACTCGTGGCCTCAAGATACTATCTCGTGGCCTCAAGATAGTAACTCGTGGCCTCAAGATAGTAACTCGTGGCCTCAAGATAGTAACTCCTCAAGATAGTAACTCGTGGCCTCAAGATAGTAACTCGTGGCCTCAAGATATTAACTCGTGGCCTCAAGATAGCAACTCGTGGCCTCAAGACACTATTTGGTGGCCTCAAGACACTATTTGGTGGCCTCAAGATAGTAACTCGTGGCCTCAAGATACTATGGAATCTTGAAGCTATCTCAAGACTATCTTACTATCTCAAGATAGTATCTCGTGGCCTCAAGATAGTAACTCGTGGCCTCAAGATAGTAACTCCTCAAGATAGTAACTCGTGGCCTCAAGATAGTAACTCGTGGCCTCAAGATATTAACTCGTGGCCTCAAGATAGCAACTCGTGGCCTCAAGACACTATTTGGTGGCCTCAAGACACTATTTGGTGGCCTCAAGATAGTAACTCGTGGCCTCAAGATACTATGGAATCTTGAAGCTATCTCAAGACTATCTTACTATCTCAAGATAGTATCTCGTGGCCTCAAGATAGTAACTCGTGGCCTCAAGATAGTAACTCGTGGCCTCAAGATACTATCTCGTGGCCTCAAGATACTATCTCGTGGCCTCAAGATACTAACTCGTGGCCTCAAGATACTAACTCGTGGCCTCAAGATACTAACTCGTGGCCTCAAGATACTAACTCGTGGCCTCAAGATACTAACTCGTGGCCTCAAGATACTAACTCGTGGCCTCAAGATACTAACTCGTGGCCTCAAGATACTATCTCGTGGCCTCAAGATAGTAACTCGTGGCCTCAAGATAGTAACTCGTGGCCTCAAGATAGTAACTCGTGGCCTCAAGATAGTATCTCTTGGCCTCAAGATACTAACTCGTGGCCTCAAGATACTAACTCGTGGCCTCAAGATACTAACTCCTGGCCTCAAGATACTAACTCGTGGCCTCAAGATACTAACTCGTGGCCTCAAGATAGTAACTCGTGGCCTCAAGATAGTAACTCGTGGCCTCAAGATAGTATCTCGTGGCCTCAAGATACTAACTCGTGGCCTCAAGATACTAACTCGTGGCCTCAAGATACTAACTCGTGGCCTCAAGATAGTAACTCGTGGCCTCAAGATAGTATCTCTTGGCCTCAAGATAGTATCTCTTGGCCTCAAGATAGTAACTCGTGGCCTCAAGATACTAACTCCTGGCCTCAAGATACTAACTCGTGGCCTCAAGATACTAACTCGTGGCCTCAAGATAGTAACTCGTGGCCTCAAGATAGTAACTCGTGGCCTCAAGATAGTATCTCGTGGCCTCAAGATACTAACTCGTGGCCTCAAGATACTAACTCGTGGCCTCAAGATACTAACTCGTGGCCTCAAGATAGTAACTCGTGGCCTCAAGATAGTATCTCTTGGCCTCAAGATAGTATCTCTTGGCCTCAAGATAGTAACTCGTGGCCTCAAGATAGTAACTCGTGGCCTCAAGATACTATCTCGTGGCCTCAAGATAGTAACTCGTGGCCTCAAGATAGTAACTCGTGGCCTCAAGATAGTAACTCGTGGCCTCAAGATACTAACTCGTGGCCTCAAGATAGTAACTCGTGGCCTCAAGATAGTAACTCGTGGCCTCAAGATAGTAACTCGTGGCCTCAAGATAGTAACTCGTGGCCTCAAGATATTAAGATAGTAAGGGGGGGGGGATTTTTACCCGGAACTTTATTTAGACCCTGGTTCCTGCGGTGTAAACACACCGAGTACCAGCCCAAAGTTCCTAGTTCCTGGGGAAAGTTCCTGTGGTGGAAACTCAGCTTTAAAAAGGAATCCTTAACAGGCACTTGAAAATTCACATTGACAAGAAGCTGCCAACAGTCTAGGGATCTAAATTCATTCTTCCCACTGGTCGCACTGGTGTGACTGACTTTCTCAGTTGAACTTCATCATACTTTGATCATACTGATCTTGCATATTAATGACTCATTGTCTTAATTCCTACTTCATAATCCAGGGCCCTCAATACTGATAATGATTAGGTCTTCCACAGTGTCAGCATCCCAACTTGCCCAAACATCTGACTTCATTCTCCACACATTTGAATGTCGTTGCAACTTTTATTTCACTTTTCCTTTTTTATTCAAAATATTCACAAACTTTTTGGCTGTCATCAACTATTTGATGTCCTGACTCTCATATACATGTAAGTGAATGTGTTTTGTTATTGAAAAACCTTGTGTAATGCGTGAGGGGCGCCGCAGTTAAAGGGATACTCCACTTTTTTTGGAAATAGGCTCATTTTACCACTCCCCCAGAGTTAACCAGTTGAGTTTTACCGTTTTCGGATCCATTCAGCCGATTTTCTGATATTTAGAAGAATATCAGTAACCAGACAGTTTCTGGTCTCATTGACTTCCATAGTATATCCTACTATGGAAGTCAATGAGACCAGAAACTGTCTGGTCTGTCGGATTTACAACACGTCAATTCATCCACTTCCCCTGAAAGACGTGAAAGTGGCCACTGATGTTAAGAACAGATTAAACTTTATAGTTAGTTATACAATCTGTATCTGATATGAAGTGTGTTTTACAGAACTAAATGTATTGTATTGTTTTACTAGAACTTAGTTGACTGTCTGAACCCTAAAATAAACCTTATGTGGTTGAAAACACTGAATAGTTGTCATGTATGTCAAGCACTGGCACTTAGCGCCAGCCAAAGCGTGAAAGCACGTTTGAATTTAGCAGTGATTTTTAATCACTCTTTAATGGATAGCTAAGTTTAAATAAAGGCTTTTTAAACTTATATTTCTTTTGAGTGCCTCAGACTTCGGGTTCATTTGGAAAACTAAGAAACAGAATTCTGATAGATGGCCATTGTCACAACCGGATCAAAGCTGTGACGAATGAAAGAAGGATATAGCAAAATATGCGTGGTTTTATAAATGTTGATTGATTAACATAAATAAAATAATCTGTAAAACAAAAACAACATGGTCATCTTTGTTTAAATTTCAGGAGTGTTGGTGTCAATAACAAAAACTTAAACTAAGATAAAAAAACAACTAATGTAAACTGATTTTCATCTTTGACGTGCAGTACAAAGGGGGAAACGAGAGGCGATAAACTTCTCCAGACCAGCAATCGGATGAATTACTGACATGCTATAAATTTTGAGGTTATCACACAGTTGAAGCAGAGCTACCAACCAATTGGCCTAAACTAAGAGTATATTCCTCGGAAACTGAAATTAAACCATATCGTGTTTAATGCAGTGGGAAAGAAAAAACGAAAAATGGGAGCTCTTTAAGTTCCATCACTATCAAACTAGCTGCAATTTAACAAACTGTTGCTTAACTCTAGTTTGCATTGCAGAATAATCATTAATTTACTTATGTTATTATCATAGGAAATGTAAACCGTTGTCCATTATTTTGCATTTTATGATAAAGAAAAATGTCACGTCGCTATATTGGAAATATTTCAGTGCTGGCACTGGCACAGGCTCTAGAGCAGGGAAGTGATGTCTGTGAGGGTTTGCGTTACTTACAGTGTTGGGGAAGCTACTCTGAAACTGTAGTTTGACAAGCTACAAGCTCGTAAGTTAAAGTAGTTAAACTACAGTCAAGCTACCCTTTTGGAAAAGTAGCTACACTACAAGTTACTATCAAAAAGTAGCTAGCAACATTGAAACTACTTTTGCTTTTTGAACAACGTATAATAAATAACTAAATAAGTGTCTGAGGAATGTGTTAAGTAAAATATTTTGTGTTTAAAACAATGCAATGCAATTATGATTTCAAAGAGTAGCTATTGTTTTATTACACACAACACTCAAAAATCTCAGACTGTTTGTCAAAAGTGCAAAATTGCAACAAATAGTCTAAAACATTGCAAGAACAAAATATACATCCAACGTAAATTGCATGTAGAACATTTTCTCAAAAATACAGATTGTACTACGTGGACAAAAAAGGCCATGGGTAATTAACGTTAATTGTTTCTCCATCCTCCAAATCTGCCGTCACGTCTTGGTATATAATCATAATATGGGTGTGTCAACCCACTTCTGTACGTCAGTGAACCGTTAGCCGCAAGATGCGTGATTAAACAGGTGGCGGTAATGGCAAAAAATTTGTTTGTAATCTAAGAAGAAGAATATTGGTAAACTTTATTGGTAGGAGGAAAACCCCTTGAGATGTGGCATCTCGTTTTCGAGGGGGCCTCAAAAAAAAAAAAAAAAAAAAAAACATACTTCATATACATACATACATACTAACAAAACAAAGACAAAAGACAAAAGCTCTCCATCACACCGAAACCACCCAAAACTTCCCCAGTCCAACCAATGTATATTAGGCAATAAGCAATAAAGGTCAATCGTATAGACAAATTTTTAGAAGGAAAAAAAAAAAAAGAAAAAAAAAATACAATACTGTACACATACATACCAACATACATGTGTATACACACTTATACACATGCACACGCATACATATATTTATATATGCATACACACACGTACATACATCAAGCATGAGGAAAACAGTTGCACCTTGTATGCAAATAATTATTAAGAGACATCTTAAATTGGTGAAAAGAGGAGATCGATCTAAAAGACCTAGGTAAATCATTCCAGTCAGAAGGGGCTTTAAATTTAAAGGCTCTCCTCCCACTTTCTTTAGCTATATTTGGTACAGAAAAGAATAGATGATCAGTGTCTCTTAGACTGTAAGAAGTTTGATAAGGAATCAAGTATTGTTTCAGATAGGGTGGGTAGTTTGAAAAAATGCATTTATGAACAAACTGCAACCAATGATACTGTCGTCTAGCACTTAGTGTAAAAAAATTCAATGACTGATACATTTGACAATGATGAG